ACTTAAACAACTATCTACACTGCATAGTCGGCACTTTGATTGCTGCGTTGCAAAATATTTTTATATCAAGTTGTATTTTTTAATAAAGAACATTTATAATGTTTTTGTCAGATGAATATAGCTATCAATAGCAATTTGGCTGAAAGGAAGCAGTTTAATCCCCAAAGTGAGAATTTGAAAAATCAACTGAGAAACTGAAAAATCAATATCATAACAGCTATAATTGTTGCGGAGAAATCCTGGTCGGTAGGTGCGAAAAAACAAACAATGATAGAACTCGATTTCTGATGCATGTTTTGTTCTTGAAGATGTCGGGGTTTTTTAAGTTTGCTGAGTGTGCAGATTTATGAATCAGATCTTTTCGTTGTTAAAAGACGCATGTTCAAAATGACATTTAAACTCATGGTTTAAACACAAATATTTGGTTCTGTACACGGTCGGGTTACGATTATACGCAATCAGGCAAGGTAACAAGTCATTCGCATACGTCCAAAGTGATGTGTGTATTAAGCGTTGTTCGTTCCCATACTTACCCGTGAAGATCCGGGTTAGAATTGATCTTCAGTAACTCATGATTGTCGTAAGAGGCGACTAACGGGATCGGGTGGTCAGGCTCGTTGACTTGGTTGACACATGTCATCGGTTCCCAATTGCGTTGATCGATGCTCATGCTATTGATCTCTGAATTGTCTGGTCCAGACTCGATTAATTACAGTCATATAGCTGTGCTGTGCGGCATCAATCAACCAACCAACTAACCAACCAAATCAATCAACCAATCCAATCAATCAATCAATCAATCAATCAATCAATCAATCAATCAATCAATCAATCAATCAATCAATCAATCAACCAACCAACCAATCCATCCATCCAATCAAATCAATCAATCAATCAATCAATCAATCCAATCAATCAATCAATCAATCCATCCAATCAATCAATCCATTCATCCATCCATTAATCAACCAACTGATCAACCAACCAATCATCCATCCAACTCAATCAATCAATCAATCAATCAACCATCCATCCAATCCATCCAATCAATCAATCAACCCAACCAACCAACTAATCAACCAATCAATCAATCAATCAATCAAACAAAAATCAATCAATCAATCAATCAATCAACTAAATCAACCAACCAACCAACCAACCAACCAACCAATCAATCAATCAATCAATCAATCAATCAATCAATCAATCAATCAATCAAAGGCGACTAACGGAATCTGCTGCAATCAGTATTTGCTGCCCATGCTTTGGGGTGCATGTTACGGATGCCCAAAGGATTATCTGCTTGTCATGTTTTCGATGGCCACTCTGTGAATTCAAGAAAATCTGAGTCAGTTCTGAGTGCAACATCGTCCCCCTCATCCCCATCCCACCCCCATCTTATGTCACTGTGCGTGCGGACTCTACAGATCCGAACATGAGTGGTGTTGTTCCACTACATGGTGTTCAAAGAATAAAAAAATACAATCAGAAAGGTTGTCCGGCATAATCCGGCCGCAGCTCCTCACCATGGAGTAGCATTACGCAGCCCGGTTCCCGGTTCTGTGCTAATCAGTGATCAGTGTCGAAGTTAGCGCAGCAGACCCCTGGAACCAGACTGATGGACTCTCACCAACAGGTGTATAAGAATTCAATACATACGTTTGATACCAGATTTCTAGAAAGTCCTTCTCACCCACATGGTGTCATAAGGAATTAATATTATATTGACCTATATGTAGATATATAGAGAAGTCATTGATGGAATTAAAGATGTGATGAGGAATAGACATTTTTTCGGTCTTTTAGCTGAGGACCTATATCTCTCTTATAAATACAGATATCACGGATAGACTTTGAAATCCGTACAGTACGGATGAGGAATAGACACATCTTCGCGTCTTACAAATGAGGAATAGACACGTTTTCACGTTTTACAAATGAGGAATAGATACGTTTTACAAATGGGGTATAAACACATCTTCACGTTTTACAAAATGAGGGATAGACACATCTTCACGTTTCACAAATGAGGAATAGACATGTCTTCTTCGTTTCAAATGAGGACAAATGAGGAATGGACACGTCTTCACGTTTCACAAATGAGGAATATGGACACATCTTCACGTTTCACAAATGAGGAATAGACACATCTTCACGTTTCACAAATGAGGAATGGACATGTCTTCACGTTTTACAGTCAAGACGAACATTGAGGGCAACTTTCTGTTTTGCTATTCCGGAAAAGGAAGGTTACGCCATTTATATATTATGCATTTTCTATTACAGGATTGCACAATGGATGGATAAATTGAGCCTGCATAGAAATCACCCAGTTTTGTGAGGATGTCGGAGGGAAATGCTTGATATCGCCACAAGTTGACATTAATGTACATCACAGGAAGAGCTGTATGTTAGACAGGTGTTGACCCACTTTTCTGACTCCATGTACGCGGTTCTGACAAAACGAGTGTCATCATATGTATGAATGTATGTGATTCAAACATGTACGGGCGTGGTGGGCGAGCAGCGTGTGCGTCGTGCGTGCGTATTTATGTATGTATGTATGCATGTATGTATGTATATATGTATGTATGTCCGTATGTATGTATGTATGTATATATGTATGTATGTATGTATGTATGTATTCAGACATGTATGTATGTATGTATGTATGTATGTATGTATTAATGTATGTATGTAATGTATGTATGTATGTATCTTATGTATGTATGTATGTATGTATGTATGTATGTATGTATGTATGTATGTATGTATGTATGTATGTATGTATGTATGTATGTATGTATGTATGTATGTATGTATGTATGTATGTATGTAAGTGTCTTGGACCGGCTCTCTGTCTTCAATGTTGTGTTTGTGCATGCGTGCGTGTGTGCTTGTCTGTGTCTGTGTAATTCTGATAAATGTTTAACACTCGAGTTTTTTCCATAAAACTTTAGTTTATGGGCTATGGCCACTGACGCACCTAAGAACATCGGGGCCGATCGGGATTCGAGCTCACAGTCCTAGGTTCATGCTAAAGGGAAAACACAGAAAAGTGCCCCACTTTGCGCCAGACTGAACCAGATTTTATGATTGCGGTATCTCCGCAGAGTTTCTAATGAAGGATTCATCTTAAATAGGTGGGCTAACGTCAGTGACCCATACAGTAATACGTCATGCGAGAATGGGTGAGTTTGGTATAGCTGTTTCAGCTATATGACGGTATGACAGATACTGGGGAACTCTCAGATGTCTGCTACTGTGAGGAAACCTCGTCCGGAGATGGCAAGGACACGTGTGTTGAGTGACTGACTGACTGGAAGTCCAGCAAAATGAGAGTGTGGGTTTTATACAACTCCCGTCAACTTGGAGACAGGACATTTAGCTTTACGGGGTAGAGAAGAAGAATGTGTGTGGCTTCTTCAATGAAAAGATTTGGAATTACGTCGGTTTAAACAATATTCCAATTCTTTCACGGCATCTCAACTCAATGTGGACGTTTACCACCTAGTGAGCCCAAGGGACGTAACTCTTCGCAGCTAAATGCCTCAGCGCCTAAGCCTAAATCCTATGACCAAGAGCACGTGTGTGTTGCAGATAAACTCAGAATCAAAATCGGAGAGAACCGGGATTTGAACCAACAATCACAGGTTCCTGATGTGTTCAAAGGGACGTAACCCTGCACAGCGAAATGCGGTGCCTTACACGACTCTACCCTGTTAGTAGTGTGATAATCAGTGTTTGTTTTTGACCAAACATGCAACACGTGGTGTAATTATTGATTGAAAGATCAAAGCATTGTTTCTGACCAAATGTCAGAACGTTAATGACAAATATCAATAGCTACACTCTAATGTGACCCGTGAAGGTCCGGGTTAGAATGAACCTTTAGTAACCCATGTTTGTCGTAAGAGGCGACTAACGGGATCGGGTGGTCAGGCTCGCTGGCTTGGTTGACACATGTCATCGTATCCCAGTTGCGCAGATCGATGCTCATGCTGTTGATCACTGGATTGTCTGGTCCAGACTCGATTATTTACAGACCGCAGCCATAAAGCTGGAAAATTGCTGAGTGCGGCGTAAAACTAAACTCACTCACTCACTCACACTCTAATGTGACTCTATGGTAAGCTTTCCATTAGTATATACTAAAATCCATCATCCTTTCAGAGATGGATATACATACATACAAATATTTATATAGCGCTAGTTTCTGGCATCTGCCACTCAAAAGCGCTGGAAATGAGTCTGGAAAGACATTGGTCAAGTTCGGTAGGCAGCACTGAACAAATGAGTTTTCAGTTGTGACTTAAATGCTGGTAGATTCTCTTGCGATCTCAGGTGCATAGGTAGACTGTTCCACATTACTGGACCAGCTTTTGCGAATGAACGGTCGCCAAATGTCTTTGTTCGGGTGGTTGGTACCTCCAAGAAATACTGGGAACCAGACCGTAAGGATCTGGGAGGGTAGTGTCTTTTAAGAAGATTTGAAAGGTAGCTGGGGGCAAGTCCATTCACACACTTCAACACTAACAACAGTACTTTGTACTGGATCCTGTATCTGACTGGCAACCAGTGTAGACTCCATTCAGAATATTTTCATCATCAATTATACACCATCAGAGGTCACTGGATGCAAGGAGAAAGCTACAAGTGAGAAAGAGGTGTTGGATCATCTCGATGCCCTTTCAAGAGTTTTCAGAAGCACGGAGCTCACCCGTATTTAGCGCTATTGAACGTTGTTGTTTGTTTGTTTGTTGTTTAACGCCGACACAGCAATATTCCAGCCATATGGCGGCGATCTGTAAATAATCAAATCTGGACCAGGCAATCCAGTGATAGACATCATGAGTATCGATCTACGCAATTACGATACGATATGTGTCAGCCAAGTCAGCTAACCTGACCATCCGTTTATCGCCTCTTACGACAAGCATGGGTTGCTAAAGTCCAATTCTAACCCAATGGCGTATATTATAAACAACGTACACAAATACTGTGAATATAAGTATTTATTCCAAGCATTCATTCAGTGAGACACAAACAGACGGGAGTTCAGTGTGCGTTAATATCGTGATTTACAATAATTGAACTTTTGAACTGTTTTACATCAATATATTGAATATCATATTCACTTATACATACGATCAGGAAGACGGTTAGTTCATCTTAGGTATATTTATACAATTGAAATATTTTAGCAATCTACTGAAATAAGACCCGTGAAACTTCATGACGGTGTTTAACATAACCCTTTGTGTTGCTCTACGATATTCAGGTATTCAGTTCCACTTCGAGAGGAAGCTCTGACGTCAGAGAACACTCCAATACCAGTCCTGTAAGTTCCGCACTCGACTTCATCTGTTACTTCATCACACTTCATCACCGGGACTGCTAATGACAATGCTAATGATCGGTGAAACCCCACTACCAGGATCGTCTGGATTATCAAGTGTCCGGATACACGAATCCTTGCTCGCTGTGTGTCACTTTCTATATAAGTTGACTTTCCCAATAGTAACCACACGTGCTTCCTGATACCGGGGTTTCCTGTAAAACATCGTTGACATATATTTACTGACCCCACTTAAAAAACAACTTTGTAATGTACAAACAAATTACCCTAATCGAGAGCGTATGGACTCGTTAGACAGCTCAGCTGACGGCAAACGTATATATTTTTGTATTCATTCTTTGAAGTGTACGGGAGCAGTTAGTCCATAATGCCTTGCATGTAATTCGGCTTTCGAGCTGTGGTGATTACTCCCCTTTGGTAGGTGGCGCTGTGGTCTAACGTCCGGTTCTGGTTACAGCGCACTGGTAGTCAAAGGTGACGACGTTGCTTGGACCAGGCTTAATGTTGCTGGTCAGTTCGCAGGTGGTGCCTTCTGGACATTGGCAGCTGGAAAAGTTGTACATGATAAAAACATTTTATTCAGTGGAATTATTTACTAAATGGGGGCGCGGGAGTAGAACACCCTGAGACAGACCTGCTGAACCATCATGAGATGATGTCATCACACAATTAGACTGAGCTATGGGCTTAAATGTAGATTTTAGACATACCCCGACATCCACCACCATAAACTGGCTTCACACAGCATGACGAACGAACATTTAAATCACTTGACTACCCAGAAAGAAAAATGAAGTCACAGTGTGTCTAAAAATGTCTACATCTTTTCATGACTTCCCTTTAACGTATTGCCCTTAAACAACATCTATAGCAGAGGTGACTGTTTATGTAAAATCCCTGGAGATATATTTACAAGATTGTTTTCTCTTTTTGATGAACCTACTTTTGTCATATTTGTGTTTGAGTCATGAAAGTAACGGCTTCAGGAAACAGGAAAGTGTTGTTTCTCGATAGTAAAGTCAATGGGTTACATGCCGATCCCTGTCGATTTATGTTTTTCGTTGCCAGGACAACTGTCTATATAAACTAGTCACAAGATCAAACTTAGCACTGCCTTCACTGGTCCTCGATATTCGATGAAAACAAATACGCGAAGTTCATTTGTGGAGTCAAAATGTTCTCGACAAAAATAACTGCAACAAAACAGTTTGTTGTAATTATTCGCATGAAACAAACCTTTGGTTTGCACCCACGTCTTCATTTCTGTTTGAAATTACTCATGTCCATTTTAACTGGACATGATACAGAATTTCTTTTTTTATGGTAGTTGCCTGTTGACTACCAGCAGTGGAATCAGTTAAGCATAAAGTTTTTTCTAACGTTAATTCCAGATTTGTGAGCCCTACGTCACATCACAAACACCTACAGTACGCTAACCAAACTGAACATGGGCTTTCCGTTGTCGTATAGTGCCTATGTAGGCAGACAAGGGCCTTTGAGAGGATTGCATTTAAGTCCTTCGTGACACCTTTCTCAACACAAGTAAAGCCTTTGATGACGAAATCACTAAAGTCTTCATTGATATATATACGGTTTTTGGCACATAAATGGGCTTTGTTGAAAAATATTACTAACTTTCTCCTCGTCATGCCATAAACATTCCTCGACATTTCCTATAGAAGTACGAAAGGGAGAGTCACTGTAGGTACACGAGGAAGGATTAGCGAATAAGTGCGTCTGACAAATTACAAAATCAAATTACTTCGGAAATAGCAAACCTTTGTTTTGCTGATATAACGCCAATTATTGATAAATCTTCACGTCTGATGTGCATGCATTCAGTTCTCGCGAGATCTCACGAGAAGCCACCATTCTGATCCTTTTTTCGTCGTATCTGTTCCAGGCACATTATCATAATGTCTTTTGATTAAGTGTAATACCGGATGTCGAGAGACATTATCCCGATTGTTCAGACGAGTTACTGCTTGAACTTGACCTGCAGGCTAATAGAGAATGTATTATTGAAATCCGATCTTTCAGGAATTTCGCGCATGTCGAATCCGAACAGGCTTCTACGGACTCTCTGACATATTTAATATTTTCGACATTAATATCACACAAAAACATTATGAAAAAGTGTATCAATAAGTGTATTTAACCCAGATTCCTTTGATAGTTTAGAATAATTTAGAGGTGTTTATTCATTGTTCCTTTGTATATATTGACGTACACATAATGTTCACTGTTACAACGTAATAATATAAATAGTTTCACAGTGATGTGAAATACGTATTTGTATTGCCCGGCCCTAGTGCGTTCCATGACATTCCATAAAGATCATAATGTTTTTTAAGTTGAAAAGAACTTGGAAATATTGGTAAGGAATTATTAAGCATTTTCTAAAGAGTCAATGAATGATTTTAGTTTACGCCACACTCAGCAATATTCCAGGTAATGGTGGCGGTCTGTAAACAATCGAGTCTGGACAAGACAATCCAGTGATCAACAGCATGAGCATCGATCTGCGCAATTGGGAACCGGTGACATGTGTCAACCAAGTCAGCGAGCCTGACCACCCGATCCCGTTAGTCGCCTCGTACGACAAGCATGGGTTACTAAAGAACAACCCGATTCTAACCCGGACCTTCACGGGTATTTTCTAAAGAAGTACAATTAATGTGTTCCTTCTTATTGCAAGCTTCACGATCTACTTGTAACTGACATGACTGAAAAAAGCATTGTATTTTTCGAATTTTGAGATCAATGCCCATGCTGTTGATCACTGGATTTTCTGGTCCAGACTCAATTATATACAGACCGTCGCCATTTAGCTGGAATATTGCGGAGTGCGGCGTAAAACTAAACTCACTCACTCACTGTCATGGTTTGTGGTTATTACAACCAGGGATACTCTCCCTGTTACAACACACAATTTTCCAATTGTAGGTATTCTTAAACTTATTTTGAATGCAGTGTGCGAAACAGCTACTGGCCCCGCTAGCTCGTGGCTATTAAAAATCCAGTTGGGCCAGTAAATCTCCACAGTCACTGGCCCGACTGGCTAGCGAATTTTCATGAGGTCATTTTGTAAAATATATCACGGCCTGATAAAAATGTTCATCATCTAAGCAGTGTCCACATTCAAATTTTGGTCCAGTGAATTCTTTTGTGGGCTAGTAACTTTCAGGAGTAGCAAAATTTGGAAACAATTTCGCACACTGTTTGAGTGGTATATATTTGACATAAAATGATTGAAGGGTGATGGACATATACTTACTTATCTACAAACCGACAGAGTTCCCTGTTGGGCGTCAAACTCGGCCTCCAGCCGCACACGGCCCACCTGCACGGGCTGTTCATGTCACACTGGTCAGGCTGGGAGAGAACCGATAGCTGGAACCAATCATAAGGTATTGACATATAACATATAAACTATGATATATACTGAGGGAAAAAAATAAGGGATCACATGAAAGCACAAGTGTTCCCTTATTTTTCAGGTTTCTTCACAAGCTATATGCGATACAAAGCTTGTGAATAAACCTTGGAAAAAAATAAAGGAACACTTGATCTTTCAAGTGATATGATCCCTTACTTTTTTCCTCAGTATATTATAACAGCAGTTGGCTGATGCATCACGCAGATTTTGCATGGACAATATGCAATCTGACAATAAGTCATGTTCTAGGGATCCCTCTTATCATACGGTCTTGTAGAGCAATTCTTGTCACACTGAATATTTAATCATAAATAAATTATATATATATAAAACAAGAAATGTTTTAAATAATTACACGACACGGATCTTCTCCAACATGTTTCACTTTTATCTTCAGGGAGAAGATATATGAGGGACTTCTAATCAGACAATTTCACTAGTCTTTTTAATATCGAGCTCGGGTGGGCAAAACAGCGAAAACTAGCTATTTTATGATTATTGAACGATATTAAATCATCGATATGCCTGAATCTTAAGGTTCATGGATCTTTGAAGTAAGTTTTTGCTAAAGTACGCCACGTGGGATAGTGAAGGGCAGAGTGGTAAATTATACGTTTTGACAGAATTGATTTTATTCTGAGATTGCACAAATTCTATCAAACGCTTTGAGTGTTTGAGAACACTCATCGTATTTATATAATTTGTCTTAAATAGTTTATGTGAATACAAAGAAAGCCCCTCCTTGATTGTGATAAGGATTACGGTTGTTCTTTGAGATATGGATAAGGGGGAAATCACTGACGCTTGGGCAAAAACTTATATTATTAATCGAGGTAAGAACTATGGTATATAGAATGAATATGGGGTTTTGTATGAGACCGCTTCGAACAGAACATCAGCTACATCAAGGTGTGTCAGCTGAATGAAGAGACGGAGCACAGGTTTGACTATCAAATACATCGAACACCAAGCCGACCGTACCATTCTGTATAATTTGTGTTATGCAATTCTAAAGGAGCAAACTTTGAAAACTGACGGCAGTCTGTAAATATTCGAGTCTTGAAAAGGTAATCCAGTGATTGATATTAAGAACGTCGATCTGTTCAACTGGGAACCAAGTCAGACCACTAGCTCCCGTTAGTCGTCTCTTACGAAAATGCATGGGTTGTTTAAGACCAGTTTTAACCCGCATCTTCATGGGTTAAAACATTGAAAAGATAACATCATATTGTAGCCTTATAAACTGTGACTTCCCATAGAATGTTAAAACGTACCTTAACACATATTACCTGCGGTCCACTTCAACATTTTGCAACATTGTTAGACAAAACGCCAATAAATTAGAGTATTGATCTAATTACAGTGGCTTAAAACTGAATTTTAAGAGTTTATATTCATGCCAGCGTTTTTGTTAATGGATCAAGCGATCAGGAAAGTGACCAGGCTATTATTCAAAATTTAGAAATTCATGTCACCAGTTAGAGATATCATCTTTCTGACATTTAACTATAAAGCCATTGTTGTTATTAAGGATACGTTGCCGTGAACACTTTAGGACAAACTGTGAACCCCCGAACTAAAGACTCCTTAACTGCCGGGCAAAACAAAGTGTAACTAGACTGAAAACAGTTCCTGAATCGATGAAAACGTAACGTCAAAACGCAACTATGATACCCGTATAATAAATAAATAATTTGAAAATTTAGCCTCCATCAAATATAGGAATACTTGCGTTTGTCTAGCAGATTTAATTGTCCGGCGATTAATATGTTCAACACGATAGAAACAAATGTACACCTTTCCCATTCTTATAACGACATAATCACTGCAGTGGAGTTACTCGAATCTTCGAAGTATTCAAAGAAAAATTCAAATAATAAGAATGGAAGATAAATATAAAATTTCTTACCGAGTTAAAGGTGGTTGCTCCAACGATGGTAAGGACGACTATCAGACTTCCGAGCACTTTGGTGAAGCTTGTCATCTTGACGGAATGGTACGGATGCTGGAATGTCGGAATTCTACAAGCTCACAGCTCTTGGAGGACTGACGGATGGAACTCGTCTTATATATACGTTTTCTGCACCCAGAGTCGCTGACCACCTACAAATTTCGTCACGTGGGTCAAGCTAACTTTCTGTAATGGTAGGCGTCATGTCTTGTTTATCAAAGGCCTGAATCAGACCATTCGCGACAAATACAGTTAACTTCAATGGTCTCTGTTTTGTTAAAACTTGCGTTGTTCTGCTAGATCTTCAATCGGCGGAGAGCTGTTACACAATGCTTGTTAAGTGTCACATGAGTATATAATTCACAGCCATCAATAAAATGTCATATGTGTGTTCGAACTGAGCCATGAGAAACCACATTATAACTCGGACGATATTTACGATAAACAAATGTGGAAAAATATATTATATAAATGTCCAGACGAGAGCATCATTATTTTTATCTACCGACTTAAACAGTTAGTCGTCCATACACGTTTATTTGATTTTTGATGTCTTATGACAAATCTTGACGCTAAGGAATCCTAACTAGTGTTGACGGTGTCTGAGAAAATGTACTTCGTTCACGAACGGAGCACAATGCTATCGAAGCATATACGTAATGAAACTAAGGTTTCAACTATCTCCACTGCATAGTTGGCACTTTGATTGCTGCGTTGCAAAATATTTTTATATAAAGTTGTATTTTTTAATAATGTACATTTATAATGTTTTTGTCAGATGAATATAGCTATCAATAACAATTTGGCTGAAAGGAAGCATTTTAATCCCAAAAGTGAGAATTTGAAAAATCAAATGAAAAACTGAAAAATCAATATCATAACAGTTATAATTGTTGCGGAGAAATCCTGGTCGGTAGGTGCAATGACAGAACTCCATTTCTGATTCATGTTTTGTTCTTCAAGAAGTCGGGGGTTATGTAATTTTGCTGAGTGTGTAAATTTATGAATCCGATATTTTCGTTGTTAAAAGACGCATGTTCAAAATGACATTTTGGTTCTGAACACGGTCGGGATACGATTATACGCAATCAGGCAAGGTAACAAGTGCTTTTCATTCACGTCCAAAGTAATCTGTGTATTAAGCGTTGTTCGTTTCCAAACTTACCCGTGAAGATCCGGGTTAGAATATTGATCTTCAGCAACCCATGCTTGTCGCAAGAGGCGACTAACAGGATCGGGTGGTCAGGCTCGCTGACTTGGTTGACACATGCCATCGGTTCCCAATTGCGCAGATCGAGGCTCATGCTGTTTATCACTGGATTGTCTGGTCCAGACTCGATTATTTACAGACCGCCGCCATATCGGAATATTGCTGAGTGCGGCTTATAACAAAACTCACTCACTCGTTACCATACCATGGTGTCATCAATGCCGTAGAATTCCAGCCATGTTAGTTATGTTTTTTTCTTTGTTTGCATGTCACAATCAATTTTGGCCTCCATGTATTTGAAGTCATTTGCGGTATCTTGAATTTGTCATTTGAAAAGTGAACTTCCTCAGTATCTAATGTATTTTCTTAAATAATGAAATACTTATTTAGTAGCGAGTGAGTGAGTTACGTTTTACGCCGCACTCAGCAATATTCCAGCAATATCACGGCGGGGGACACCAGAAATGGGTTTCACATATTGTACCCATGTGGGGAATCGAACCCGGGTCTTCGGCGTGACGAGCGAACGCTTTAACTACAAGGCTACCCCACCGCCCTTAATTATTTAGTAGACATAGCGACATATTATGTATGAATGGATGTTCGACTACAGAAAACTTAATTTTGAGCCAGCTAAATAGAAGTTATTCTTATAAATATTTATCGAACTTAATATTAAGTAAAATGGAATGCATTACTCACTTGTTATTGCCTTGCTTGAGGTTCATCATTAGTGGGATAAGACGATGAGTGTTTGGTTCGGAAACCGTATAATGTGTATGAAGGTCATGGTAACTCAGTAGGCTAAAACTGGCATTAGTCCATGTGCGCGCACACACACACACACACACACACACACCATACACACACACATCACACACACACACACACACACACACACACACACACCCATCGTGCATTGCCATATTCAGGGTTGATCGATACATTCTAAGCCACATTTACAAGGGATGGACAAAAAAGTTAAATCCTCTGTTTCAACATTACAGGATGCCAAAGAAGTATATCTACTGATACCTGGACTTAAAGGTGCAAATTACTTGCAAAACACGTACAATTTAAGTAAGTACAATCTCAGGGAAGGATGCCACTGCTTATGTCACTATAAAGAAGTGTACAGACGTTGGTCTGTAATGATGTGGGTCAGGGGTGAGTCTGTAATGATGTGGGTCAGGGATGGGTCTGTAATGATGTGGGTCAGGGATGGGTCTGTAATGATGTGGGTCAGGGGTGGGTCTGTAATGATGTGGGTCAGGGATGGGTCTGTAATGATGTGGGTCAGGGATGTGTCTGTAATGATGTGGGTCTGGGATGGATCTGTAATGGTGTGGGTCAGGGGTCTGTCTGTAATGATGTGGGTCGGGGTGGGAGTGTAATGATGTGGAGGTCATGTGGGTCAGGGGTGAGTCTGTAATGATGTGGGTCAGTGGATGGGTCTGTAATGATGTGGGTCAGGGATGGGTCTGTAATGATGTGGGTCAGGGTAATGAAGTCTGTAATGATGTATGTGGGTCAGGGATGAGTCTGTAATGATGTGGGTCAGGGATGGGTCTGTAATGATGTGGGTCAGGGATGAGTCTGTAATGATGTGGGTCAGGGGTGAGTCTGTAATGATGTAGGTCAGGGTGAGTCTGTAATGATGTGGGTCAGGGATGGGTCTGTAATGATGTGGGTCAGGGATGGGTCTGTAATGATGTGGGTCAGGGATACGTCTGTAATGATGTGGGTCAGGGATGGGTCTGTAATGATGTGGGTCAGGGATGGGTCTGTAATGATGTGGGTCAGGGATGAGTCTGTAATTATGTGAGTCTGTAGAAATGACTGTAGACTGTAGAACGTCGCTGTATATTGCCTGCCACCAGGTCACAATACTTCCGAGACAACATACTGGAGTCAATACTTGGGTCGCCGTGCTGGTTCATGTTGTGTTTTTCAAGACGGTTCACATATCTTGCTCTGCATGTATTGTAACTGACTGGATCCAGCATCAACACATCCCCAGAATGCAATGGCCAGCATTGAATCGTGACCTTCCCTTCCAGACCACGACTGGGACATGATCGGGAGACGTCTGAGGCAACCCTCTCCGTGAGCCGAAGTGGGCAGGGCGCTGCAAGAGGAGTGCACAGGACTCCCTCGCTGGGATTCACATCATGCCACGCCGAGTGGACGAATTGTTGGCCAATCGTTGTGGCATGACCGATCATTGATTAAGTCATCTCTAATGTTTATTATTTGACAACCCGGTTGTCTTTCCTGTGGTTGTGTGCGCCCTTACAACCCCTCGCCAGCAGGGTCTGCTGGTTGTCATGCTCCAACTTGTCCTTCCTTCTCTTCCATTTCTTTGGGCGGTGGGGTAGCCTGGTGGTTAAAGGGTTCGCTCGTCACGCCGAGGCCAAGTTTTTGATTCCCCACATGGGTACAGTGTGTGAAGCCAATATCTGGTGTCTCCCACCGTGATAAAGCTGAAATGTTGCTAAAAGCGGCTTAAATGAACTCACCCACTTCCTTCCTTTTCTCCTCCATCATTTTCAACATTGATATCTCTTTATACATCTGTAACCTTCACTTATATTTATGTCACATATTTTTAAGGATATGTAAGTGACTTTAGTATTAGGTTTGTGTGTTAGGTTCATGGAGTTCTCAGTATGTTGACAGTATTCCATTGAAGCTCTGTGTAGGATACAAATGACAGTACGGAATTCATTGGAACTTTCCTGATACGGCTTCATGACTATTATTCATCAGGCAGAAGTGTGTCGTGTGTTATATATCACGGAGAAGTGAACCAGTGTTACTCTTCTTGATGATGGGCATCTTACACAGCACGCACTGATGAGGCAGGTGAGTGGGAGGATGTGGGTGAGGCAGGTGAGTGGGAGGATGTAGGTGAGGGTAGGTAGGTGAGTGGGTGGATGTCGGTGGGGGCGTCAGTGAGGTACATAAGTGAGTGGATGTCTGTGGGGGTAGGTAGGTTAGTGGGTAGATGTCGGTGGGGGCATCAGTGAGGAGTCAGGCATAAGTGGGTGGATGTCGGTGGGGGGTAGGTAAGTTAGTGGGTGGATGTCGGTGGGGGGGTAGAGTAGGTGAGTGGATGGATGTCGGTGGGGGTAGGTAGGTTAGTGGGTGGATGTCCGGTTGGGGCGTCAGTGGAGGTAGGTAGTGTGAGTGGATGGATGTCGGAGGGTAGGTAGGTTAGTGGGTGGATGTCGGTGGGGGCATCAGGTGGGGTGGGATGTCGGTGGGGGTAGGAGTGGGTGGATGTCGGTGGGGGGGTAGGTTAGTGGTGGATGTCAGTGGGTGGTAGTGGAGGTCGGATGGGATGTCGAGGTGGGGGGTAGGTAGGTTAGTGGTGGATGTCAGTCAGTGGGGGCGTCAGTAGAGTAGAGTGAGGTAGGTGGATGTCCCGGTTGGGCGTCAGTGAGGTAGGTGAGTGGGTGGATGTCGGTGGGGGTAGGTAGGTGAGTGGGTGGGTGGATGTCAGTGGGGGGGCGTCAGTGTAAGTGGGTGGAGGAGTGAGTGGGTGGATGTCAGTTAAAATGGTAGGTGGGGTAGGTAGGTGAGTATGGTGGTCGGGTAGGGGCGTCGAGGTAGGTGGTCAGTGGGAGGGTAGGGTAGTGAGTGGGAGTGGGTGGATGTCATGCGAAACATCATCATCGGCAGTAAATCATTCGATGTGGAAGTATTAAAACAATAAATAAAAATGCAATAAAATCGAACAACCTCCGTAAAGAAACATCAATAAATCCTAAATCGAAATAAATTCGATCAAATGCGAAAACGGCGTATCAAATAAAATCGTATGAAATGCGATCGATTTCAAATCCAGGAAACTAAATAAAATGCGATATCCGGCGTCCTGGGTCATGCCAGGCAATCAATAAAATGCAATCGTCGAAAGATATCAAATACGAGCAGGCAATAAAAAATAAATACCGTCAAAAGAAAAATCAAATAAAACATCAATAAAAATGCAATCATCCGGAAGATCATGCAATAAAATAAATCGTCGCGAATCAAATCAGGCTTATCGTCATCGTCGTCGAATCGTCGACAATAAATCGGTCGATCAAAGGCAATCGTCGAAGTCGTCATCGGTCACGATCATCAATCAAAATACATCGTCGTCGTCGATCAAATCAAAACATATCAAATCGAAATCAATAAATCGTCGATCGACTGCAATCAAATAAAATAAATCATCGGTAAATCAATCGAAACATCAATCCATCATACGTCGGAAGATCTTCGAAAACATGCAATAAAATTGTCGTCAAAGATGCAGTAAACCGAAACGGTAATCAATAATCCCGTCATCGAAGATCAAATCCGAAACTTTCTCGTCGATCATATCATGCCGAGAGCACATCAAATAAAATGAAGTAAAATCCGAGGAAAGAAGATATCAAAACCGAGAGCATCAAGTAAAATTAAGTAAATTAAAGATATCAAATGAAACTAATAGTAAAATCGTCGTCGAGAACGATCAAGTCAGTAAAATACGTCAAATCGAGTCGAAACATCAATCAGTAAAAGCGCAGAAATGAAGTCGAGACAATCAAGTAAAAATATAAATTAAAGAGATCAATAAATATTAGAACTTGTTATCAATAAAAATGCAGTAATCCGAGGAAGAGATATCAAATAAAGAACTTAATAAATTAAATCGCAGTAAAGCGTGAATCAAATTAAAGGCAATCAATAAAATAAAATGGGATTAGAGAGATCATCAAGAGTAAAGAGAACTTTTAGTAAAATGCATTAAGGTAGATATTAGTATTAAGGCAATCAAAGTAAAGTCGAAATCGAAAAAGAAGAACGTATCAAATAAAGAGAGCATCAATAAAATAGAAGTAAAATCGATGAAGATCAAATAAAGAGAACATCAAAATAAAGTAAATGTCGATGAATCTCAAATTAAAGAACTTCAAGTAAAATCAGGTAAATAATGCAAATCAGATATCAAATGAAACGTAAAAGTAAAATACAGTCGTCAGAGATATAAAATGAGAAACTTGTATCAATGAAAATAAATAAAATACGAAAGAGAATCAAATACAAAGAAACATCAATAAAATACCGGTTAATCCGGAAAGATCATAAAGATAAAGAGCAATCAAAGTAAAATACGTCGTCGCGAATCAAATTAAAGGCGTCAAAGTAAAATGCGAGAAATCGTCCGGAAATATCAAATGAGAACGTCAATAAATAAATTAAATAAATTAAGATATCAAATGCGGAACGTCAACGGTAAAGATACCGATAGAGAATCTAAAATTAGATATCAAATGCGAAACATCAGTAAAATGCGTCGTAGAGTCGAGAAGAGATATCAAATAAAGGAGCAATCAATAAAAGGTAGAGTAAAGTCGATATGGAATTAAAAACGGCATCATAAAATTCGGTAAATGGAGTGGAATCATCGTCGAAGGAAATAAATAAATTAAAATTACCGTCGTATTATAAATGAGGGGCGTCAAAGTAAAGTATAAAGTCCGAAGGATTATCAGGTAGGGGCAGTGGCAATCAAGGAAGTAAATTGATATTTTGTGGATAAAGGTCGTCGAGAGTCAGAAGGTATAAAGTAGGTAAAAGTAAGTAAAATTAGGTATCAAGAGCGTCAAGTAAAGGAGTAAAGTCGGAAGAGTCGAGAACGGCAATCAATGAAAACAATCGTAAACAGGAAAGATCATCAAATCAAAGGCAATCAATAAAAATAAAATTAAATCGAAGAGAGATCAAATTAGAGACATAAAGTAAGGAAAGGAAATAAAAGTAAAGTCGTCGGATGCATCCGGATATCAAAAGATAAAGGCAATCAGTAAAGGTATGGAAGGATCTCGAGGTAGGGGCATCAGTAAAGTAAATTAAAGTCGGGGAGAATCAAATGGGCAATCGAAAGTAAAAGTGGAAGGTCGTCGAGGAGTAATCGTAATGGGTCGTCAAGGAAGAGTCAGGTAGAAGGGCGATCAAAGTAAAGAGATCGAACCAGGAAGGATACAAATTAAAAGGGCATCAGGAAGGGTATCAGAGAAGGAAACGCAAATCAGTAAAGGTATATGGTCGGATATCAAATAGGGCAATCAAGTAAAGTAAAGTCCGGAAGAAGTCAAATTAAAGTGAATCAAAGTAAAGTACAGGACAAGATAAGGAAGGACGATCAAATTAAAGGGCAATCAAATTAAAAACGTCGTCGGAAGATATCAAATGCAGGGAACATCGAAAGTAAAAGTCGTCGGAGAATTAAGGTCCGGGGCTCGAAGTAAAGTGGAAGTCGTCGGCGTCAATGAAGTAAAAGGGTCGGTGACGATCGAGTAAAGATGGAAGTAAAGGATCAGTAGAGGCGTCAGTGAGGTGGGTGGAGTGGGAGTCGGAGGATGTCGGGTAGGGCGTCAGTGAGGAGTAGGTGGGTGGGAGGAAGTCGGGTAGGGGCGTCAGTGAGGTGATGGTGAGTGGGAGGACGTCGGGTAGGGCGTCAGTGAGGTAGGTATAAGATGGGAGGATGTGTCGGGTAGGGGCGTCAGTGAGGTAGGTGAGTGGGAGGATGTCGGGTAGGGGCTTCAGTGAGGTAGGTGAATGGGAGGATGTCGGGTAGGGGCGTCAGTGAGGTAGGTGAGTGGGAGGATGTCGGGTAGGGGCGTCAGTGAGGTAGGTGAGTGGGTGGATGTCAGGTAGGGGCTTCAGTAAGGTAGGTGAGTGGGAGGATGTCGGTGGAGTAGGTAAAAGGGATGATGTCGGTAGGGGCGTCGGTGGAGTAGGTAAATGGGAGGATGTCGTTAGGGGCGTCTGTGGGTGGATGGCGTGAAACTTGAACCTCCCTCCTTAAATGTGCCTCACCCTACCTATGGGTAGAAATAATCCTGTGTATAATTGTGATCATTGATTATGATCATGAGTCAAGAGTTATCTACATGGAGTTATCAGTGGTCTTGGTGTAGGTAACTATTCAATATAGTGACGACATTACGCCCACATCACTGACTACCTACAGTCCACCTCAAGGAACCCACGGACACTTGCTGGGCTTGAATGGCCATAAATAATGTTTGACCGTAATCTCCGTGATCCGGTTCTTCAGATACACAGTACATACGACGTTGTTGAGCTTGCTTTCTCAAAGACAATTCCCTTTCCGTAATCATCAAAATTCAGACATGTGTCTTTCCGACAAACTGACCTGAACTTCTGACGCGTGAAAGTTGTTTACCACCGTACTATTCAGCTTTATGGCAGCGGTCTGTAACACTGCAAAACACAAGCTTGTAAATGTCTTGTAAAGATGATATTTACAAGACATTTTACAATTTTATACAGATGGGGTTTACAGGGACATTTGCAAATTTGTATAAAAATGTCTACATTTATGTTTGTAAATGTCTTGTAAAGATGATGGATTTGGAAGACATATATAATTTTGTAAAGATGACTGACTGACTGACTGAGTTTAGTTTTACGCCGCTTTTAGCAGTATTCCAGCAATATCACGGCGGGGGACACCAGAAATGGGCTTCACACATTGTACCCATGCAGGGGATTCGAACCCGGTCTTCGGCATGACGAACCAACGCTTTAACCACTAGAATACCCCACCGACCCTGTAAAGATGAGGTGGACAATTTTGTTAACATGCATGACTTACAAAAAAGAATTACAATTTTGTAAATATTAGCAATGGGAGATAAATAGTGTGTGATAGCAAATAATATTTCTGCATGGGGTAAGTGCAGTTTGTACTTACTGCTTTAGTACACAGATCATGAAACAAATATACCTAATACACCGAATGTGACAAGTCTAGATTTCCAGAAATGAAGAAAGTCTCTGTGCTGTTTTAATAATTTTTATGGACATAATTTAGGAACCATTTTTCGGTTTAAAATGTTTTGAGATTGGATTACTTTACATTTGCCCGAGTATAATTAGTACTGAGCTCCTTGAATAGTGGATAGATGGGTAGACTAACAATTAGTCTCTGAAATAGACATATTTTACTGAAAAAGTTCACAGTAAAAAATAATAACATAATGAAAGGAGCCCTCAGACTTCTTCATTTTCAGAAGCTGAAATCTAGACTTACCACATTTTCTAGACTTGCGTGGGCTTTCTTGGGTATATTTGCTTAAAGGGTCTGTACGACAGACTAGCAGATGGGTTGAAATTGTTTCTGCTGAGCTGTCGGCTGGTTCGACATCTCGCGATGTAATTATCGTTATACCATCATGAAGAATAAATAAGCAGATTATCATTGGATGATAATTGAATAGTTGACTGAGTTCTTCACTTGGACGATGAAGTGGATTCCGACTTACTGAAGTTGATTTACAGATAGAATCTATCAATGAGCTGTTCAATTCAGACTGTTTACAATCTAATACTTTTCGTATATAGGTTTCAGGATTTGTGCTATTTGTTGATCTTAGTCTCCGTCTGGCCTCATCAAATAGTGTGCAACTTGCTCTCAATTACCTATTGTTGGTATTGTTAATTGCCTATTGTTGGTATTGCTAATTACCTATTGTTGGTATTGTTAATTACCTATTGTTGGTATTGTTAATTGCCTATTGTTGGTATTGTTAATTACCTATTGTTGGTATTGTTAATTACCTATTGTTGGTATTGTTAATTACCTATTGTTGGTATTGTTAATTGCCTATTGTTGGTATTGTTAATTACCTATTGTTGGTATTGTTAATTACCTATTGTTGGTATTGTTAATTACCTATTGTTGGTATTGTTAATTACCTATTGTTGGTATTGTTGGTATTGTTAATTGCCTATTGTTGGTATTGTTAATTACCTATTGTTGGTATTGTTAATTACCTATTGTTCGTATTGTTAATTACCTATTGTTGGCATTGTTAACTACCTATTGTTCTTATTGTTAATTACCTATTGTTGGTATTGTTTAATTACCTATTGTTCGTATTGTTAATTGCCTATTGTTGGTATTGTTAATTACCTATTGTTGGTATTGCTAATTACCTATTGTTGGTATTGTTGGTATTGATTAATCACCTATTGTTGGTATTGTTAATTGCTTATTGTTGGTATTGTTAATTACCTATTGTTGGTATTGTTAATTACCTATTGTTGGTATTGCTAATTACCTATTGTTGGTATTGTTTAATCACCTATTGTTGGTATTGTTAATTGCCTATTGTTGGTATTGTTAATTACCTATTGTTGGTATTGCTAATTACCTATTGTTGGTATTGTTTAATCACCTATTGTTGGTATTGTTAATTGCCTATTGTTGGTATTGTTAATTACCTATTGTTGGTATTGTTAATTACCTATTGTTGGTATTGCTTAATCACCTATTGTTGGTATTGTTAATTACCTATTGTTGGTATTGCTAATTACCTATTGTTGGTATTGGTATTGTTTTAATCACCTATTGTTGGTATTGTTAATATAATAGAACATTTTCAGAAAAAAATGTTTCCAATTTTCTTGGAGTTTAAACTAGACAAGATAAAGAGGGAGGTAATGTCACTACAGCCAGAATATGGTGGCATCAGTGTACCTGTTGTGGAACAAGTGGTGCAGCTCAGAAATTAGGATGGGTTAAAAGATTATTTACTAGTAAATCCAAGTGGTCAAACATATTTTTGAAACTGTAGCGAGATATAAATGTCATGACTTTGGCTGATAGTTCATATATTTATGAAAATATTGCTCCAAAATTCATAACTTTTGGAAAGAGATATTGCTATTATGGAGCATATATTTGAACTGTTTTGACACTTAAGAAACAACTATAAAGGCGTAATAGGCAAATCAGTTTGGTATAACAATTCCATAAAATTGATGTCACACCCATATATATATACTCATGCTGATAATAGTTTGTCACCCCCTTCAATTTGTTTAATTGGAGAGGGTGTGTGTGTGTGTGGGTGTGAGTTGTGTGGGTGTGAGTTGTGCTGTGGGGGTTAGGGTGGGGAGGGGTGACACGGCAGCCCATTAGCATGGGTATATATTTGCACAGTGGCATAAAGGGTATAACATTTCTGAATGATGTATGTGTGAACATGGTAAAATATATGAATTTGATATGAATTTATTTAAAACATATAGAATTAGAACAATTTAATGACTGCTCAGAAATTAAACAAGCCTTCCTCAAGGTTATTTACAAACATTAATAGATCATTTGTTTGGTGATCTCAAGGACCAATATTGCACTGTACTGTCTCAAAAATACACAATGAATCTGGATGTAGGTACTTTATAAAATTCTGCATGAGCTAATTTTACAAAACTGTGGCAGTGTTCCTTTATTTCTTATCAGATTTCCTCCTGCAGTGCTATTCCAAGCTGGTGATGAAAATGGAAAATATTAAAAGGAACACTTGTATTTTCCTGTGTTCCTTTATTTTGTTTCTCTCAGTATATTTTATTTCCTTTATCTTGGGTGTGACTACAGTGACAGGCGTATTTTATATTGATACATAAAGATGAATGTGCAGACGTCGTTTCAAGCCTGTTAATGCCCGCATTAAATGGGCGACTCAAGTTGAACACTCTTCTCAAACTGTGGGGGCCGTCTGGTGGCCTAATTAAGTTAAAAGCGTTCGCTCGTCACGCCGGAGACCTGGTTCGATTCTCACATGGGTACAATGTGTGAAGCCCATTATATATGGAGTGTCCCAGCCGTGATATTGCTAGGAATATTAGTAGACGGCGTTAAACCATACTCACTACTCAAGCTATTGTCAAAGTGGTAGTAACTCCTGGACATTAGAGATCACATTGGTTTTGCTTCTTAGGAACCAACCTCTTAACTAACCTAAACTAAAATGCATTTTTATCTGTAATCATCTACTGTGATGTGAGCTTGTGCGATGATTTCTCGTAAATAACCTGACGTGATCTAAAATCTCTAAATGATATTAGAACATTATGTCACCCGCTTCTTATAAATGATCAAACAATTTTAGTAACACTGTATTTTATTTGAAGGGAATTCATTTATTTATTTACCTAAATCGGCTGAATTATGTTTGGACAACATAACCATTTATATTTCAAAGTTCATGAGATACCAACTGCATAACACCGTCAACGAGTACAAATCATGTTTCAGTCAGTCAGTGGAGTCTGATAAACTTTTAATTCATCCATGTGTAACGTACGTGTATGTAATTTGTTTTAAACGAACAGTGAAGAATTAGAGGAAAAGTATTTGCGCTTTCGTGGTGCTGCAACTAAAACATTAACACAATATAAAGATATATTGGAAAATGCTAGCCCATACTTGTGGTAAATATAACACCATTCTTATCATACAATCAATGTCAATTTACGACACATGGAACAAGAAGGATCTCTACAAATTGCTGGCGAAGTTATACCTAGTCTAATATATAGAACTGGACCTGGTTAATCACAGACGGCTTTTTAGGCTTTAAACATTATCCCAACTTATAAAATGTATGCAAGGTTATGTAATTCGTAAACATCATCAGACACTAGAAACATACAGTTTGGGTAATGGTTGTGTCCCTTTTTCTTTACTCATGACTGAACCGAAATGGGTCCGCCACCAATAGTCCCGGTTGGAAGTGAATTCTATTTATCTCTGTTCAGCTGTTAATGAAGTCGAGTCACCCAGCCCACCAGTGGGACACAACAAACTTCGTCTTGTCCCAAAACAA